GTTCTTCGCCTGCGCCGGGGTTAATCTGTGGACCACCGCGTGATCTAGATCCGGACGGATCTACGCAGTACGACGGGTATTATTTCACCAAGGAAATAATAGCCGGGGAGGATTAGTTCACCAAGGAAATAATCGTCCAAATCTCGTGATCAAAGGCCAAGCTTTGATCCGGAGTACGCCTGCGTAGATCTGAGATCCGGTCCTCTCGAACACCTGCCTTTTTTAGCGTTGACGATCGCCGAGCACCAGATCTGGATGAGCAAGTCCTCAAAGTCCCAAAGCTCTAATCTTTTTTAAGTTTCGAGCCTTGATTTCAGCAGAGTTTCGCCTCCAAATTTTCCAACCTCTGAAAATGAACACCCCTTGGCCTATTTATAGGCTCTCAGATCTGTTCCTTGGCATAGATCTGGGTAGGCCAACCATGGGTGGCTCGGCCACCGAGCCACCCNCTGGGGTGGTTTAGCTTTGGCCGATTTGCCCGGGTGTGGCGCCGTTGTGTCCGTTGTCCGGTTCCGCGGTTTATCCAAGTTTTGTTGTTGATCTGGACTCGATTCGTTGACCTGATTTGGCAGTAAATCCGTATCCTGATTAGGCAGTAAATCCGCTTCTGAGTTTAAGTCCGAAACTGATCTTGATTCGATCGTGATTCGTCCGAGTCCGCTCTTGGTGTTGACTGAGTTTAAGTCCGAAACTGATCTTGATTCGATCGTGATTCGTCCGAGTCCGCTCTTGGTGTTGATCTAAACTCTGATTTGTTCTGAATCCTGATTTGGAAGTCTGGATCCCGATTTGGCAGTAAATCGGCTTCGGTGTTTGAGTTCGAATCCGCTCTTCGTAGTTGGATGACTCGTTGACTCATCGAGCCGTTGGCTTGATTCCACACGCGAATGGATGCATTCCGTTGCTTGCGTGCGATTCGTTAACCTCGTCGCCTCGTTAATCCGCTTCGTTGCGCGTCACTTGGCTTCGACGTTGTGGACTGACACTCGTGTTTGGATATGTCGTCCGATGGTTCGTCAGTTTATGCCGAGCTATGCTAAGGGATCTATAAGCAATTTTATACGCCTACAGATACCCCCTCCAAAGTATTTCAGTCTCGTTCTTTTATAGAAGAGTCTGGAATACTTTGGATATGATTGTCCCATCCTTCGGGATATTTAGAGTGGCTCCCATTCTTGATTCCTTCAGTCCTCCAGGCTGTTCGGTGCTTTGTTGAACGTCTGTAAGGATTCTGGTGCTGCATTTATTGTCTGACCGTCTGTTGGAATTTCGAATTTGAAGTCGATTCTCGCTTTTCTAACTTTTTAGCTCGAGTTGTTTGTTTCAACATAGAACTGACCATCGGTCATCGGCGTTGAATCTTCATCTACAACGCGTTGTCCGGCGTTTGAGCTTCCTTGTGACGCGTTGTCCGGCGTCCAAGCTTCATTGCGACGCGTTGTCCGGCGTCTAACACAGTTTATACTCATATGTTTGTTGGAGTCTTAAGAAGCAGTTTATACTCGTATACTTTTTGGAGTATTGATCTTTCATTGCAACGCATTGATCAGCGCTGACCTAGGGTTACGCGTTGACCGGCGTTGACCTAGGGTTTCGAATGTCATACGTTGACTGTTTGGTCGCAACGCATTGATTGGCGTTGACCTAGGATTACGCGTTGACTGGTGTCGACCCTAGGGTTTCGAACGTCGTAGGATGCTCAAGTCACGAGACCAACTAATGAAGCTGATGCGTCAG